TACCTTGACAACATTATGCTAAGTGAAAGCAGCCAGTCACAAAAGGCTAACATTGCATAATTCCACATTAAGGATATGTTCAGAATAGACAAAGCTACAGGGATACAAAGCTGATTAGCGGTTGTCTAGAGCTGAGGTTTAGAGGGCTGGGGGAAAAAAGGGGAGTGACTACTAATGGGTACTGGGTTTTTTTTAGAACACTGTAAAAACGTTCTAAAATTATTATGGTTATATTTGCACAACTCTGTGAATATACTAAAAACCACTGAATTTTATGATTTTTTAAATCAAAACAATTTTTTTTTTTTTTTTTTTGTAGAGGCAGGTTTCTTCACTATGCTCCCCAGGCTGGTGTCAAACTCCAGGCCTCAAGTGATCCTCCTGCCTCAGCCTCCCAAAGTGCTGGGATTACAGGTGCAAGCCACCATGCCCAACCCCACTGAACTGTATCCTTTAAATAGTGAATTGTATGGTATGTGTATTAAATCTCAGTATAGATGTTAACAATTTTTCTCAGTGTATACTTGAAATATTATGGACGATTGCCTGTTTATGAAACTGTTGAAAGAAATAGAAGACAAGCTTCCTTTCCAACTTGAACCCAGCAGAATGGCTCCCGCAAAGAAGGGTGGCGTAGAAGAAAAAGGGCCGTTCTGCCATCAACGAGGTGGTGACCTGAGAATACACCATCAACATTCACAAGTGCATCCATGGAGTGGGCTTCAAGAAGCGTGCCCCTCGGGCACTCAAAGAGATTCGGAAATTTGCCATGAAGGAGATGGGAACTCCAGATGTGCGCATCGATACCAGGCTCCACAAAGCTGTCTGGGCCAAAGGAATAAGGAATGTCCCATACCGAATCCGTGTGCGGCTGTCCAGAAAACGTAATGAGGATGAAGATTCACCAAATAAGCTCTATACTTTGGTTACCTATGTACCTGTTACCACTTTCAAAAGTAAGTTCTCCATCCCATAAAGCCATTTAAGTTCATTAAAAAAAAAAAAAAGAAAAAGAAATAGAAGACAATAAAATTAATGATCTTGTATTCTTTGCCAATGCTTGTTGGTTGAGTGGTAGAAGAGCTTTACAAAGATTTATTGTACTGTTAGCTCCAAGATTATCTTGTAACAAAAAGAATGGTTGTGTCAGGGCTCAGAAAACGATACTCCAGAGTATGACTTTGACATGCTAAGCACTTTGAACTAAAGGAGATTGCAAGGCCTTAGAAGCAGCCTCAGAAGCAAAGTCTTTCTCTGACCTTCTCCTGCCCTCCTGTCTGCTGCCCTTCCTTCTGCTCCAAGGCAAGCCATACAAACTAGAATTTCGGCTGGGCCTGGTGGCTCACACCTGTAATCCCAGCACTTTGGGAGGCCGAGGTGGGCAGATCACTTGAGGCCACTTGAGACCAGCCTGGCCAACATGATGAAACTCCATTTCTACTAAAAATACAAGAATTAGCCAGGCATCATGATGGATGCGTGTAATCTCAGCTACTTGGGAGGCTGAGGCAGGAGAATCGCTTGAAACTGGGAGGTGGAGGCCGCAGTGGGCCGAGATCGTGCCATTGCACTCCAGTCACTCCATTGTAGCCTCAGCAACAGAGCGAGAATCCGTCTAAAAAACAAAAACAAAGGCCGGCCACGGTGGCTTATGCCTGTAATCCCAGCACTTAGGGAGACCAAGGCTGGTGGATCACAAAGTCAGGAGTTCGAGACCAGCCTTGCCAATATGGTGAAACCTCATCTCTACTAAAAATACAAAAATTAGCTGGGCATGGTGGCACAAGCCTGTAGTCCCAGCTACTCAGGAGATTGGGGCAGAAGAATTGCTTGAACCCAGGAGGCAGAGGTTGCAGTGAGCCGAGATCGCGCCACTGCACTCCATCCTGGGTGACAGAGCAAGACTCCATCTTAAAAACAAAAACAAAACAACAAAAAAACTGTAACCTCTGTCCTCCAAACCTGCCATAAAACATAAAAATTTTACTCTAAATTTCTCTCACCTTTCTGCTGAGAGTTAACCATAAAAAATATTCTCTGACTTCCTCATTTGATAGTCATAAATCCTCATTTTGGAGGGGTCCTCCCTGTAAACCAGAAAGTATCTGAAACAGGTCTCAATCAATTTAGAAGTTTATTTTGCCAAGATTAAGGACGTGTCTGGGAGTGAGGCTTGTGCCTTTCTCCAAAGGTGACTTTCAGGGCTTCACTATTAAAAGGGGAAAAGTAAGCTGGAGGGGAAAAAGGGAGGGTACACTAATCCACATGTTGCAAGAGAAAAGGAGCAGGTAGGGGAATAGTCAATTGGTATTTGTTTCAGGCTCGGTAAATCGGCACACAAGATAAGGTGAACACACAGTAGATCCTTGTAGAGATATTTAACATTTTATCTGTAGCTATCCACTTAGGAACAAAAGCAAAGGCAGTTGCTTGCATGACTCTGCGTTGAATTTAATTTTTTTCTTTTGGCATAGTGAACTGCGGTCCCAAGTTATTTTCCTTTCACATTCCCTATACCCAAAAGGATTGTTATCTAGAGAGGCTAAGAAAAATCTGGACAGACAGGCCTTGCTGGATTTCCCTCCTCAGTCTATTTCTGTCAGATCATACTCTTTTTGTCCTGTCACATTTCTTTTTTTTTTGAGACGGAGTCTCGCTCTGTAGCCCAGGCTGGAGTGCAGTGGTGTGATCTCAGCTCACTGCAAGCTCCGCCTCCTGGGTTTAGGCCATTCTCCTGTCTCAGCCTCCCGAGTAGCTGGGAGTACAAATGCCCGCCACCTTGCCCAGCTAGTTTTTTGTGTTTTTTAGTAGAGACGGGGTTTCACCGTGTTAGCCAGGATGGTCTTGATCTCCTGACCTCGTGATCCGCCCGTCTTGGCCTCCCAAAGTGCTGGGATTACAGGCTTGAGCCACCGCGCCTGGCCTGTCCTGTCACATTTCTACTCACTGTCCATTCTTCACCAAACCTAACCATAAAAATGGACAGTTTTCCCTGGGTCTTTGAATCTTCATTTCTGAAGGCTCCTATGTCAGGTAAAACTTTAAATAAATTCATCGAACTTTTTTCTTGTTAACTTGTCTTTTGTTGTAGGAGTGTCTTCTATGACCCTTATGATGGGTGAGGAAAGGTATCACACTTTTCTGCCCGTATAGTTGACAAATATTTTAGATTTTTAGAGATGGGGTCCCCCTCTGTCATCTTTTTTTTAGAGATAGGGTCTTGCTCCATCACCCGCTGGAGTGCAGTGGCATGGCTCAATGCTGCCTTGAACACATGGGCTCAAGTGATTCTCCTGCCTCAGCCTCCAGAGTAGCTGGGACTACAGGCTTAAGTCACCGTTCCTGGTGGACAATTATTTTAATAATTAAGGCTGGGAGTGGAGGCTCATGCCTGTAATCCTAGCACTTTGGGAGGCCGAGGCAGGCAGATGGTGAGGTTAGGAGTTTGAGACCAGCCTGGTCAACATAGTGAAACTCCGTCTCCACTAAAAATACAAAAAATGAGCTGGGCATGGTGACGGGTGCCTCTAATTCCAGCTACTCAGGAGGCTGAGGCAGGAGAATCGCTTGAACAGGGAGGCGGAAGTTGCAGTGAGCTAAGATTCGAGATGGTGACACTGCACTCCAGCCCGGGCGACAGTAGAAGACTCCGTCTCAAAAAAAAAAAAAAAAAAAAAAACAAGACCAAAATATGGCAGTGCAATTTGTTTTCTCATTGATGTCATAAAGCATATGAACAAACTAAATTTCAAGTTCCCCAAAAAGTTTATTGCTGATCTAACTAGACAGGTCCGAAAATTTATGTAGAAACAGAAACTTTGCATAATACAAATCTTGATAAAACATTACAAAAGCTACTGGATAATCGACTAAGTATGCTGCAACAGCATCCTGAGCTTCCACACTAGGCCTGAAGCCGCAAATAAATGTCAGAGGAGTGGGAACTGAACACCCTCCTGCTTTCTTGATTCCAGCAAGACCTGGATACCCGGATTTCCTCACCCCAGCTGCCCAGATACCAGTGGTATTCTTAATTCCAAAAGCAGCTTCAAGTCAGGAAGATCTGATTTCTAGACCCAGCTCTGCTGGACGGTTGTGAACAAAAATTATACACTATCATTCACCCTTTCAGTGCTTCATTTCCTAAGGCATGTGATGGGAGCAATGAATATCCGTCCAATCTACTTCACCAGCCTGTGGAAAACCAGAGTGAGTGAACACATCTGAAAGCATTGGGTAATGATCATATCGAAACATGCACTGCTCGAGTCTGAACCGAGTTCTGCTGCTGAAGACCTGTGTGACCGGGGTAAGTCATGTAAATATGAACGGTTCCCCAACTTGTAAAACATTCTTTTCATGTCCCCAAACTGGTAGGAGCAAAGAGTGTCGGGGCCGTTTCTCAGCGCCCCACGGTGCACATCAAGAGAGTAGGTGTCCTCGCAGTCAGTTTCTAAACTCTGGCTCTGGGCTTCTCTGGCCCCGCTCTCTTATTTACAGATGAAGAAGGCTCAGAGACCGAGTGACTTGTCCACGGTTACACAAGGACTATTGTTACAGAATCGATCCCAGGGCCACCGGGTCTGTGAGAAATTTGGCGCGGTGGCCGTTCGATGAGCAGCCAGCAATGGCGGCTCCGCAACGTCGACACCGCAAAGCGAAGCTGAGGCCCGTCACCTAGCGGCCTGTTCAGGCACTACAAGAAAAGTGCTGTGAAAAAAGACTCTGGGTTCTGCGGCAGACGGGAGCCAATAAGCGCTAAGTTCGCGCTGCTAATTCCTTTTTTCTATTGGTCCTTCTAACTGTCAATCAACTATTTGCCTATCTCTTATTGGCTTGCCGTCAATCATTTTACTCAGTCTACCAATCACACGCTCTTTGCCAAGTGCTTTTTTTTTGGGCCTGACATCGCTGAGTCTGACGAATTTAGCCAGTTCCTTTATTCCATTGGCCAGATCAGACTCCTCCTCTCGTTTATCCCGTTGGGGGCGGAAGTGAGAGAGGCCTTATTCGTATTGGCTTAGGTTTGCAAGCGGCAGTTGTCTATCAAATCTATTAAGACGCCTTTAGCGCTCAGGAAGTACGGAACCGGAAAGGGTGGGCTTTGCGAAGATGGCGGCGCCGGTGAGTTTGGTGTGGTTTCTTCCTCTCGTAGCTATTGTGGAGTTTTCCTTTCCCTTCAGCGGCTGGAGGCAAACTGTTGGTACCAGGGAAGGGTGGTGATGAAAGTTGCTTCAGGGAGGCGGCCTCCCTAGAGTTACTGTTCCTGTCCAGTAACTCAAGGGGCTGGCTTTAGGGCGAGTCTGTGAAGAGGAGTGTGAAGGCCCCGAGTCTGGGGTGTCAGACGGAGAGAGGGCAGTTTCCCAACCTAGACGTTCCGCCTTCTTATAATCCTGAGGAAAGAATGACTTTTCTTTACTCCTCCTCTCCCTTCTGTAGGGGGTGCTGGAGTCAGACCTGCCAAGTGCCGTGACACTTCTGAAAAATCTCCAGGAGCAAGTGAGTAGTGTCGCCTCTGGAATAAATTAGTCATGGATTGGCCTTGACTTTATGTAGTTCACCTCAAAACTTTGGTGATTGAGATACATGAATGCTCCCAAAAACCGTAAGAGTAAAGTGATGTAATGAAAACCTTTCCAGGCCAGAGTTCTAAGTAATTGATTCTGCACCCAAGGGAATACAAGAAACGCCAAAAAGAAATTATCTGAATAGTTTTCCCTTATTCATATAGCTAAGGAAACCAGTGCTTGGAATGGTAACATGATTTGCCCGTTGGGTGCCCAGGTAATACATACTTAAATACAGAGGCTTCTTGACTTAACGATGGAGGTTATGGCCTGATAAACCCATTGTAATACGAAAATCTCATAAGTCAAAATTTTGGCTTGATGCCGCTGCCCAGCATCACGAGAGAACAGGACGGTTTCTACCGAATGCATATTGCTTTTGCATCCTCGTAAAGTGGAAATTAAGACATAAGTCGGGGAGTTTCGTAGTTTTATGTATTATAAGTTCAACCAGTACAAACAAAAATACAGTCCTCCAGTCACTACTGTCCCAGTCCTTTTCTCCTCCCTATGGTTCAGTAAAAGATGGTCTCTTCTTTAAGAAATGGAAAGTTTTTTTTTTTTTTTTTACTTTTTGAAGGACCATCTCTCCTATACTTTCCCAGAAGTGAGAAGATAATACTATAGTTTAGACAGTGTTTCAGATGATTTTTAGGTGGCATTGTTTAGCTTTTGCTCTTCACAGTTTGCAGACATGATTTGATATAGTCTAGTCAGTTGTTTCATTTGGGCTAATTTCAGGTGATGGCTATAACGGCACAAGTGCAATCACTGACACAAAAAGTTCAAGCTGGTGCCTATCCTACAGAAAAGGTAAGATGTACTCAAACAGTAAGCATCCCCTGACTTAACGTTCTCAGTAGTTCTTTCATTGTATGTTTATTGTATCTTATATATCCTGAGTGCTCGAGCTTCAAACATAAATACGATTCAGTTTCTGTGCTGAAGTCTAGTGGGAAGACAAAGCAAAGCAATAGACGTAAGTATTAATAGTAGCAATCACATTACAGAGTTATGAGGAGTCTCCAGCCAAAGAGAGGGATTAATTAACTGCCAGAAGAGCAGAGGGATTCAGGACAGGCTTCCCAGAGGAGGTGATAGGATTTTGAGGAATAAACAGGAGGAACAGAAAGAAGGAACATGTGCAAATCCACAAAGGCCTGAAAGTATGGTGATATTATGGGAAAGGAGGAAGCCGTTTTTGTGATAGGATGTACTTTCTGTGTTTTGTGTGGTGGGGGTAGGAAATAAGACTGGAAAAGTAGTCACTCTGAAGATCATTGTAGGTCAAATGAGGAGTTACTTTCAGATTTCATCTAATCTAAGACACTTATTAATTGGGACATATCACTTATTGTGTATATTAAGAAAAAATGTAACAGGCTGGGCCTGGTGGCTCATGCCTGTAATTCCAGCACTTCAGGAGGCTGAGGCTGGAGGATTGCTTGAGCTCAGGAGCTCGGGACCAACCTGGGTAACACAGTGAGACCCTGTCTCTACAAAAGTTAAAAATTAGCCAGACATGATGGCATGTGCCTGTAATCCCAGCCACTCGGGATGCTGAGGCCAGAGGATTGCTTGAGCCTGGGAGGTTGAGGCTGCAGTGAGCTGTGGTTGTGCCACTGCATTCAGCCTGGGTGACAGAGCAAGACCCTGTCTCAAAAAAAAAAAAAAAAAAAAAAAAAAAATTCCTCATGACATAATACCAAGATGCCAGTGACTGAAACATGCATCCTGATTTCAGAGATGTTAAAATATGAAAACAATGTGCATCTTAAAATTGAAATATGCGCCTGTAATCGCAGCACTTCGGGGGGGCCAAAGTGGGAGGATTGCTTGAGCCCATGGGTTTGAGACCAGCCTGAGCAATGTGGTGAGACCTGTCTCTACAAAAAAATAAAAAATTAGCTGGGTGCAGTGGCGTGTGCCCATAGTCCCAGCTACTCGGGAGGCTGAGGTGAATGGATCGCTTGAGCCCAGGAGGTCGAGGCTGCCATCAGCCACGATTGCACCACCGCACTCCAGCGTGGGCAACAGAGTGAGACTGTCTAAAAAAAAAAAAGGGCCTGGCTAAGAAAAAAAGGTGGCTCACGCCTATAATTCCAGCACTTTAGGAGATTGTGGCAGACAGATCACCTGAGGTCAGGAGTTCGAGACCAGCCCAGCCAACATGGCAAAACCCCATCTTCACTAAAAATACAAAAATTAGCCAGGCATGGGGGCATGTGCCTGTCTGTAATCCCAGTTACTTGGGAGGCTGAGGCAGGAGAATCGCTTGAACTCAGGAGGTAGAGGTTGCAGTGAGCCAAGATCACTCCAGCCTGGGCGACAGAGCAAGGTTCCATCTGAAAAAAAACAAAACAACAACAAATGAAATACGTAGTTTTCAAATTAAGGTCTGGTAGAACCTTCTCAGGGATTACTGGTTGGGGGCAGTGTAGAACAACAACTGTGGACCTCTCATCCCTGCTTAACTGGAAAACTCTGGTATTATCTGTTTTTATATATTGAGCTTTTGTCCTAAGACATTTAAGCCAAATATTCTATGGGTAAACACAAGTATGAAAATCATTGTAATAAGAATCACTGAAGGAGGTTTAAGCACAGGAGTTACAGCAAATTTGTGCTTACAGAAAGATAACTAACAGCATTCAAAATATATTCCCTTCTTGCCTTTATCATTCACTTATGCTCTTATTGTCCATTTTTATTTTTAAAAATTTAAGTCTTTGTTTTTCTCTCATATGCTTGTAGCTCAGTTTGAATTTGACAATGCCCAAGCATATCGGAAGAGCCTGCTTCTCAAATTCTTACCTGTTTTTGTCCTGGGTATCATGCTTTTTTGTTTTGTTTTGTTGAGATGGAGTCTCCCTTTGACACACAGGCTGGAGTACCCGCCTCGGCATCCCAAATTGCTAGGATTGCAGGTGTGAGCCGCCATACCTGGCCTTGGGTACCATGCTTTGAACCATTTCAGTGCCTTTTGGAGATGGATGAGTTGCCAGCATCCTTCTTAGATCACTATATATTTGTTTGTTTATTGAACAAATACATACTAACTTATCTTTTTGACCAAAGAGTTTTACTAGGTGCTTTATAGATTACAAAGTACTTTCACATTATCTTGTTTGAGCCTCATGATTGTTCTTTGCGGCAGGAAGGACATATTGTACGTATTTTATTGATAAGACTGAGGTTGGCCTGGCGCGGTGGGTCACGGCTGTAATCCCAGCGCTTTGGGAGCCTGAGGCGGCTGGATCATGAGGTCAGGAGTTCAAGACCAGCCTGGCCATTCATGGTAAAACCCCGTCTCTACTACAAATACAAAAAATTAGCCAGGCGTGGTGGCAGGCACCTGTAATTCCAGCTACTTAGGATGCTGAGGCAGGAGAATCACTTGAACCTGGGAGGTGGAGGTTGCAATGAGCTGAGACAGTGCCACAGCACTCCAGCCTGGGCAATAGAGTGAGACTTCATCTCAAAAAAAAAAAAAAAAGACTGAAGTCACAAGGTTAAGTGACTTACTCAATGTTTGACTACCAAATACCTAATTCAGAACTTAAACTCAGCTTGTGGACTCTCAATCCTTTGCCCTCCTTCTATACCACGGTAGTGTTGATCTGAAGAGCTTAGCATGTTGGCTTAAAGACATCCAGGGATTAGGTGTTGGAGTCAGATTGAGTTTGACTCTTAGCTCTACTTGTATTACTGTATTATTTTGGCCGAAGTATTTAACGTCTCTGAAATAGGTTTTCTTAGGGCTATGTAGTTTGGAAGATACATAAAAGCCCAAAGAAAAAAATGAAAAATCAGTATAATCACCACTCTGAGATAACCACTGTGGTATTTTTTTTTTTGAGATTTTTAAAATTATGAGAATAATATATGCAACACTTTTTCAGTCTACAGTACACCATTTCCTTTTCCTCATCTCACCCTAGGGGTAGCAGTTACTTGTGTGTTGTCTTGTAGACATTTTTCTATGTGTATAAAATGTATTCATCATATCCCCCCCACACACACACTTTCACAATTGAAGTCATATTATACTTTCTGCAACTTGTGCTGACATGGATTTAATTCGATGTCATTGTATGTAAATCGTTGTTTTTACCTGTATCATATAATTCCATTGTATGGGGGAAATTAGTAATTACCTTGATTAAATTAATTTAAAATTTGGCAGTGTGTGGAGACATTTTTTTCTGCTGCAGCTTGGAGGGGCCATCCATGGGAAAAGGCCAAGGATACTGCTGAAAACCTACAATGCCTAGGACAGCCCTCAACAAAAAATGTTCTGGTGCCAAATGTCAATAGCTCTGAGATTGAGAATCTCTGTTATAGTCTTTTTGGAGGGGTAGTCTATCGATTTTCCTCTTCTCATTGTCTTCTATTAATTCTCTGAGCGTTGTTTCTCTTGTATTAGCGTAACTTTCCCATTGGCCATCTTAGGCACAGCTACTTCTTGAGACTACTCCAGATATCTAATATGAACTGATTGGGAAAATCTTGAACTTGGAGAAACATCCTGTTACCCTAGGCTTTCATCCTGGTTCTTTGGCTGAAACCAAATCTGCATCTCTTTCTCTTTTGTTCAACTCAGGGTCTCAGCTTCTTGGAAGTGAAAGACCAGCTGCTGCTCATGTACCTTATGGATTTGACCCACCTCATTCTGGACAAAGCCTCAGGAGGGTCTCTTCAGGGACATGATGGAGTTTTGAGACTGGTGGAGATTCGCACGGTATGAACCATTTGGCGTCTTGGGGTTTTAAGTTTCTAAATCTTGAGCTCCAAGCCTGTCACATAGTAGCTCTCATTTAAGTGAGTCTTCTCATGTTTGAGGAAACCAAATTTAAAAAGGTGTTTTTCTGTTCATTTGCTCTACTTTGTACTTATTTTAGGTGCCTTATGTGGCACCTTAATATAGGGACTCTGGTGTATGCTTCATTTTGGGAAGGAAATGTAATCCTGTTTAACTACCATGTTGTAGGTTTTGGAAAAGCTTCGTCCCTTGGACCAAAAACTGAAGTATCAGATTGACAAACTGGTCAAGACTGCAGTGACCGGCAGCCTTAGTAAGTGAGGAGACCACCATGAAGTTGTGGGGACCATCAGAAAGTTACAGATTTTGTAAAATTCCTTGGGTTATTTATTTCAGGTGAGAATGATCCACTTCGTTTTAAGCCTCATCCCAGCAATATGATGAGCAAGGTAAGGGGTTGTATTATTCTCCTGATATTTTTCTGAGGCATCTATACCTAGGTGAGCCTCGTGGTGATCCTGGATCCCCTGGGATTCTCTTAGGACTTGACTTTCCAACTTGTGTGTTAGAATGCTGAGTATGAGATTTCCTTTTCTCTCTTTTTATATTCCCACCTCCCCTGGGTACTCCAGCTTTGGGTTTTCTTCTCACTTATCTCATGAATGTTTCCTAAGTTTGCGGACATTATTTCTTTTGTAGTTGAGCTCTGAGGATGAGGAGGAAGATGAAGTAGAAGTTGGCCAGTCTGAGGCTTCAGGGAAGAAATCTGTGAAAGGAGTGTCTAAGAAATATGTTCCTCCACGCTTGGTTCCAGTACATTATGGTACGAACTTTGGCTGCCTCCTCAGTATTAATTGTTTCTCTTCTTTTCTCTGTTCTTGGATAACCCCTGCTTATTTTCATCATGTAGATGAAACAGAAGCTGAGCGGGAGAAGAAGCGTCTAGAACGAGCCAAGAGACGGGCATTGAGTAGCTCTGTCATTCGTGAACTTAAGGAGCAGTACTCAGATGCTCCAGAGGAAATCCGTGATGCTCGGCATCCCCATGTTACTCGCCAGAGTCAGGAGGACCAACACAGGTCTGAGCCCTTGCTTTAGAAATTATTTCTACACTCTAGAGTCCTGTCCTCATGCTTTAGACTAATGTGACTAAGTTTGGTACCAAGAGAATTGATGTTATATAGAAAATGGAGTGAAAATTTTGGGATGATAGTTTCTAAGAATCAGGAGTTTGGAGTACAGGATAGGAACTAGGAAAATTTTTACCCCAACTGTTCAAAGCAAAAGCAGTACATTGTAATTCGACATGAGATTTGAGGGGGAAAAAAAGCAGTATAGAAAGGAATATATGCATTTCCACATAGTACAACTTTAAAATTCTGTGTTTCACTGTCACAGCTCTCACTTTTGTGCAGAAGGCAATAAAGGTAGGTTTTTATAGTGACATTGTGAGTGCTAGATAAGTTCAGGGAAGGAAAGTAGAAAAGCAGTGTAATTGAATACAGGCTCATCAACTTTGCTCAGGTGCAGTCTTTACAGTTGATGGATTTGCATGAATGGACACATTTAGGGAAACCCATTTATAGAGCTGAAATAAAAAAAAATGTTGGTATAATATTTTAAATAGTGTTATGGATAGGCTATGGATTCATATCTAGCGTGAGGGAAGTTCTAGCACAGAGCACATTTCATTGAGGAAGCTCAGTATTGAACATTCAGTATGTCCTTACTAAATCAATATGTTGATCTGCTGTGAAACTTCTTGGGAACTCCCTGAACAAGGGATGAGTAAATACTTGGGCCAGGTTCTGGGCTGGAGCTTTCCATCTCCATGGTCTGAGCCTGCTGGAAACTGGCTTTCTCTGGCAGGATTAACTATGAGGAGAGCATGATGGTGCGTTTGAGCATCAGTAAGCGAGAGAAAGGACGACGAAAACGAGCAAATGTCATGAGCTCACAACTTCATTCCCTTACGCACTTCAGTGACATCAGTGCCTTGACAGGGGGAACTTCTCATCTTGATGAGGTGAGGTTGAGATACGGTTGTAGTAGGATGTGACTTTCATGCTTTCAGCCAAATGTATGTGGGGCTTATTACCATGAGAAACTGGGGAAGGGATGCTGGCTCTCAAAAGCACAGTGCCATTCCTTCACTTCTCCATCTGTCCAGGATCAGAATCCTATTAAGAAGCGGAAGAAGATACCTAAGAAAGGTCGGAAGAAAAAAGGTCAGTGAACTGCTAGGACTTAGGTGATCAGGTGCAAGGTGGGGAGTACAAATTGAGACTCTCTGGATTTGCCATTCTGGGTCTCACCAGCCCTTGTAGTATCTCTTCCGTACTGGGCAATAATCTCCTTAGGTGGGCTTTTATTTTTTCTTTCCTAAGCAGGAAATCAGCATCATTCACAAAATGAATTTCTGGATTCCACCTCTAAGGTCCCACAGCTCCTGTTCAGGCTTCCCTAGATAGAACTGATAAAGTGTCACTTGAAGGAACCATTATCCCATTTCAATTTATTCCTACTTCTCATCTTTTGTCCTGGGAAGATATTCAGAGTACTGCCTAGGAGACCCCACCCCTGTGAGCCCTTCTCTCTAGATGTCCTCTTTTCCTGTCCCTTTAGCTTTTCCAACTGTCCTTTGCCTCATTCTTGGTTTCCCTTCCTTTCAGGTTTTCGGAGGCGGCGGTGATTATGGGTGTACGTATTTGTATATTTTTTGTCATCCTGAGATACTTCTAATTTCATTGTATATAGATTGTTTTCCGTGGAATTCATTAATTGTTTGCTTTGGACATGTGGAAAGAACCTTACTAATAAAATTGATTTTACTTATGAATTAAAGCCCCTTTTTTCACATGTGTTATGTGACTGGAGTCGTTGGGTTTGGGTTATTTTTGGTGAGTGGTTGGTGAAAAGGGAAAGATTTTTTGGAAGTGCAAAACATTTGTATTCTTTTCTTTGATAGTATATTTTTCCCAGAAACCAAAAATTGGAAAATATTGAGAGACGAGGGTGGTATAATAACTCTTCCAACCCATGTTGCCTCAACTTCCTGTATGATTTGTTACAATACAATACAGATTGACATACTAATACATGACTTTTAGGTTTTATTGGTGTTATCTGGGCTGGCCACCAGGTGGCGTAAGTGGTTCAGGAAACTTGTGGAGCTTGGCTGTAATCAAAAGCAAGATGGAACCTTTCCACATCAGCAAGATGATTCTTGTCTCCACTTCTCTGAATGTTTTTCATTTCTTTCTGAAATAGCATGAACATAAGGCTGATCTTTGGTCCGTTACTGAGAGAGTTTGTAGAAAATAGTAGAGTGAGTAAGAAGGCTAGAGTGAAGAGTCAGTATAGTTGTGTTATTCAGTCTCTCACCCTGCCTTCAACTGAGGGTTGTTTCACCAGAGTCAGTAAAGGCCAACCCTTCTATAAAGAGCTGGCGGAAAAAAAAAAAAAAAAATTGCCAGCAGACAAGCAGAATATTCCTAGCTTAACAGCCAAGCAAATGAAAATCCCACAGAAATAATTAGCCAAACTCAATCCAGGAGACTGGTGGGAGTTACACATCTGAGATCTTGTATTCTAACGAGAGAATAACCTCTGTTGGTGAGATGTACCACAGGCCTTGGATAATACAGAAAGTGAAAAAAGGGATAAAAAAAGATAGAAGTTGGGTCTGTAGAATTAATTCATTGGAGTTTTTAAAAAAGGCTTTGGGTCTCATAAACATCTGATTTTAGTGTCTAGTATTGCTGGATTATATCGATAGACAAATTAATTTGGGTTATTTTATGACTAAAATCTTGTTGATTCTGAATTTATGAATTTGGATTTATACTATTCTGCCTGATTGGGGCAGGGGTCTACTTTCAGTCGTCTGCTGCCTGGTAGAAAGTAGTTAAGAGACTGGACCTATGACTGTCTTCTGCTAATTCTATATCTTGGGAAAATCACTTAATATCCCTGGCCTTTAATTTTCTTCAGCTAAGAAATTAATGTATTAGACTTCATCTCTGAGATTCCCTTCAAGTCAAAGAGCCTAGAACTTTTGTGGATAACACCAAGATGGGCTTATGTCTGGGGCTGCTCACTTTTAGTCCCTGATAGATCTGACGGAGTCTGACATGCCCTGGGCTCTCATACTTCTGTTTCCTCGAGGGAATCTAAAAGAGCCACAAGAACAGATTTGGAGACTTTTCTTCCTTTGCGACTGAACTAACTAGATGAGTGATTCTGTTCAAAAATACTTTAGTTAAAACCACTTCATTTGCTTGTTAGGATGACTGTATTTGTTTCTAATTTATTAAGATTTGTGGATTATGGGAACTGCCAGGGGAAGGGAAGCACCCACTACCTTCTGGCCAGGTGTGGTGGCTCATATCTATAATCCCGGCACTTTCGGAGGCTGGGGCAGGAGGATTGTTTGAGGCCAGGAGTTCAAGACCAGCATGTTTAACACAACAAGACCCTGTCTGTAAAACAAATAAAAAATAAAAAAATTAGCCAGGTGTGGTGGTGTGCTCCTATAGTCTCAGCTGCTTGGGAGGCTGAGGCAGGGGTATTGCCTAAGCCCTGGAGTTTGAGCTTGCCGTGAGCTATGATCTCACCACTGTATTCCAGACTGAATGACAGCAAGACCCCTGTTAAAAAAAAAAAAAAAAATTGTGTTATATACTGAGCTAAATGCTTTATGCTTAATCCTTACAATTTTTTTTTTTTTGGAGACAGAGCCTCGCTCTGTTGCCCAGGCAGGAGTGCAGTGGCGCAATCTCCGCTCACTGCAACCTCTGCCTCCTGGGTTCAAGCGATTCTCCTATCTCAGCCTCACAAGTATCTGGGACTGCAGCTGCGTGCCACTACGCCTGGCTAATTTTTTTGTATTTTTAGTAGAAACGGGGTTTCACTGTGTTAGCCATGAAAGTCTCAACTTCCTGACCTCGTGATCCACCCATCTCAGCCTCCCAAAGTGCTGGGATTACAGATGTGAGCCACTGCGCTTAGTAATCCTTATAAAATGTATGACATCTCCACTTTACTAGTGAGGAAGCTGAGACACTTAGGGCAAACAATTTTTCCTAAGTTGTAGAACCAGTGCTTGGAGAACACTGAGGATGGAGGACTTCAAGTGTCCTGTGGTTCATGAAAATCTTCAGGGTTAAAATATCTTTTTTATTTGTAGGTGGTTTATAATCTAGCTCTCTCACCCTACTGCCGCATTTCTGTTAGAGGCCTCGTCTTCAAAGAAACCCCAAGTTCCACAGTTCTGGTCTCTTTGTGGTATACCAGTGAACACAGCAGACAAAATCCCTGCCTTTGTGGACCTTGTATTATTTCAATCAGGTCTTTAATCCCAGGACATTTTGTTTTCCCTGGCTTTTAGGCATTATTTGAAATAAGTTTCTGGTAAAAAGTTGAACTATTTCTGAGAATATTTGTGCCAGAGTCATCAAACACTGTTTAGAGTGTATTGTTTGATGGAGTATTACATGGATTCTCAATATGTAAAACAGGGGTAAGTGTGGTTACTTTGATTGAAGTGGGGCTGAGGAGTCCTAAAGTTCTGTATTCTTATGACCCCCTTTCTCCAAGATTCCTGAGGAGCCCCCAAGGAACCTTTCGAATTCCTTAGCATATAGTTTGAGAACAACTGTTAGGGTAGTAGAACAAGGGAACTAAGAATTAAAATTTTAGGATTTTGTTATGGCTGCTCTGTTCACTTTTTTTCCCCTTATTCCTACTCATAGATACAGTTCTCTGATTATTCTGACCATATGAATATCAGATTTTCTCAGTGTATTGCTGACAAGAGATCATTTCTGGTGTTCACTAAGTAATAGCTGTCAATGCACACATGAGCACCTTACCTGTTCGGTTTTATCGTGATCGTTTTATCATGTGATAGCTTTATTCTGTACAAGTAGTTTATATCTCTGCCTTATTCTTTTCATCTTAGGGGACAGGGAAGAGAGTTTGACCAAGGCCTGTCTTTGCCGTAAAAGCATTGTTTTGTTAGGATTTTATGAAGGTTTGGGGAAATGTCTGTTGGGAATTCACAACAGTCTTCATAGATAACCTTATTAGGAAAAATGTGTTTTGTTTGTGGGGGAGATTATTAGTGTGTCAGTTGTCAGCACCATGGAGAGTTCAAACTCTCCTCATTCCTTGGGTTGGTGAATAGGATGTAGCTAAACCACAGAACTGCGTGGTATAGACCTGCCCTTTTTCAGAGCCCAGTTTGTCCAATCTCCAAGTTCTGATTGGTACAGATTGGGTGAGAGTCAAACACCTCTGAGTGTCCCCCATCCTCCCTGGAATCTTTTAAGTGTATAAATCCCAGATTCATGCCAAAGATTTGGCTAATTTGATGGAGGTATGTGAGTGGAATCCTGCCTCCTGCTCCATTGGTAACATCATTTATATTGTGATACATGAAATTTTTACCAGCCCTTAAGAAAAACTCTTTCCTATTCATCTTTGCTTAGAGAACCTTGAGGGAACTTAAAGTTGCTTTTTCATTCCTTGGGCCTCGTTTTCTGCCTCTGCATGAGGAAAGGCATCAATGCTCTGGCTCTCTGCCCAGTCTTGCTTTTGTGTTTCTTTGATCTCATTGTTCAGAGGGTCTCAGAGAAGCCCCAAGAGCCATGCCTTTGCATGTTTAAGCTATTGATGCTTTTGAAATAACAGAGCGTCGCTGTGTAAGAAGTGTATTAAAGGTCTATCTTGAACAAATTTGGGTCAATAGGTGGCAGTAGTCACCGAGTCTTGAGGCCCTGACACCCCCTAAACACAAACACATTTGATGGGCATTATATTTAAGGAAGGATGTGAGAAAGGAGGTCACATTGAGATTAAAATGGGGGAGAAAAGCAATCCTTTTTGGTGGAATCCTGGAAATGCTGAAATGTGCTGGATTACATCTGTGGGAATGTTGTGTGGGGTATGAGGGAAGATTGCTGTCAGCTAATGAAGGGCACTGATTGGAAAGAGCACAGACTCAGGATTAGGGGAGCAGATTCGTTCATCTAAGATGTAGGTGCTAAGGCCTCTTCCAGCTAGAGTAAGCCTGTGTTAAATGAGGACCAGCACTGAAAGGATAGAGTGGGGTTGGAGTGAGTAGAGATACAAGTGGGGGAAGGAGGGGCAGATCTGTGTGAAGGGACCATGGAAAGGGTGGGCTGTGAAGGGGAGGACTGCGGTTAGAGGGGGAGGGGGCAGGCTGCTGCAATACTAGAGCCTATCTAATAGGGGAGGGGAGGGGGAGATATTGGTCTGTGCTGCAGCTGCATTGCTTCCCCTCCCCCACACTTCTCAAGGAGCCAGAGCAGTGCTGGCAAATCTGTCTTCATGTATTTATTATTATTAAAAATGTGACAGATCCTTCCTCCCTGGAAGCACAACAAATACTGCTGATCACATTTCTCTCTCCCCTCCCTCTGCAGAGCTTTTGCATTCTCTCTTTCATTCCACCCTGTCCTCCCCCACTTGGTCTGTTTGGTGGGGGGGAACCTTTCCCTTCTTTCCTTCTTAGAGCTTGGTGGCTCCCTGGGGGTTTCTAATGGTGGTTGGGAGTTTTGAGGCAGTGCTGGGAGGAAGCAGCCGAGTGAGGGGCATTCATGGCCCCAGGGAGGCAGCTGTATTCTCTCTTATCCAGTGGGGAAAGGAAATCACTTGGAAATAAAGATAAAAACTCTTTCTCCAGGTAATGAAATAAGCAGGTACTCACATTCCTTTCAGTACCTGGTGTTCCTCCCTCTTCATATTCTTGTCTTTTTTACTGCCTGAATTCTGAAGGGGAAACCCCCTTGTAATGGAAAAAGCCAGGAGTTCTCTGTCTTCCCTCCCTTA